GCGACACCGCTGCCCTCCCCTCGTTGCCGTATTTGTTTGGGCCTCCAGGGAGGCCCTCGTCGCCACCGCTGGACCCGCCTCGAAGTGCTCGCACGGGGCGAGGGCGAGGAGGACGTCCGTGCCAGGGCGTGCTGGAACGCCCGCAGAGCGCTCTGGAAGGCCCTGGCGAGACCACGGCGCCCGATGCTTCCTCCAGAGCCGGTGGCTCTCAGAGATCCTCCTCCTCCTCCTCCTCCTCCTCCTCCTATTCCTCCCCCTCCCCCTCCCCCTCCCCCTCCTCCTCCTCCCCCTCCTCCTCCTCCTCCTCCTCCTCCTCCTCCTTCTCCTCCTCCTCCTCCTCCTCCTCCTCCTCCTCCTCCTCCTATCCTCGCCCGGAGCAAGTTTTGTCCTGGCTTCGTCGCCGATTCTGCTCAGAACGCACCTCCGGAGAGGTCCGTGGAGCAGCGGTGTCGGCACCTGCTTCGCGGCCCCTGTCTTATGTCGGGCGTGCCCCCCTACTGGGGGATTTTCGACGAAAAATAAAAAATCCCCCAACATACGCCAAAAAGGTAGAAACAGATCAAAACATAGTCCCCAGACTATTTCTGGTTTTTTTATTATCCTGGGTTTTTTTGTTCGTCGGAAATCCCCCTGTAGGGGGACAAGCCCGATTTCACTCTGGTGAGCGCTCGAGGCTCTCAGACTCTCGAAATGATGCCCCCGCTCGAGCGCCGGCCATCTCCAGCTCGGAATGGTGCCCAGCAGGCACCGGCGCCTGCCGAATCCGCTGCTCGGGCTTGCATTCCAGGCCCATCGCTGGCGGGGTCGGCGTCAGGCCAACCTGGAGCCAGGTCAGGGTCAGACCCGCTGGTGCCGTTACCGCTGGGGGCGGCGTCCAATGAGCACCCCCGGCGTCATGTTGGGGGGAGTGTGCTGGGCCGCAGGGCCGTCCCAACTCGTCTCGGGACGGAGCGCCGGTCCAGCGAAAAAGTCGGGATCTCCAGGGATCCACGTTGCCAAGCAGCCATGACGGCGAGGGTCTTGAGAGAAGCAGGAGAGACAAGGATGAGGAGGAGGAGGAGGAGCAGGAGGAGGAGGAGGAAGCTGGGACGGCGGTGCTGCACGACAGAAGTGGGCGTGGCGCACCACGGGGCACAGGAGAAGGACAGACGCATGGACCACGTTGACAGGCAAGTTGGGGGGTCGCCGATCTCCGGTGGGATGGCACCCCTGGTGGCGCCAGGCGGAGTAGCAGGATAAGGAGGGGGAGGACGACGGGGCGGATCCGTCGTCGATCCTCGAGGATCGCATCGGTTTGGTGCTCTCTGGTTTTCGATCCAAAGGGGAATTCTTGAAACTTCTGCATCACGGATCGACGTTTCTGGATGTCTTTGGGCCGTCTGTTGCCTCCTGGGACGCCCCCTCGAGGTCCTCGCCAGAAGTCGCCCTGACAGAGTTCCAGGAATCGATAAGGATATTGATGATACTGATGATGTTGATGATGATGATGCTGATGCGGATGATGATGATGATGATGATGATGATGATGATGCTGATGATGATGATGATGATGATGGTGATGGTGATGGTGATGGTGATGATGATGATGGGGCGGAGGATGACGAACATGATGATGACGAGGACGATGATGATTATGATACTGATGTTGACGCTGGTGAACATGATGATGATAATGATGGTGCTGCTGCTTATGATGCTGATGCGGCTGATGATGGTGATGGTGATAATGATGCGGAGGAGGAGGACGATGATGATGAGGATGAGGATCAGGATGATGATGCTGCTGATGTTGATGATGGTGCAACGGCTGCTTGTTCTGAGACTGATGCTGATGCTGATGATGATGCTGATGATGATGCTGATGATGCTGTTGTTGGTGGTGGTGTTGATGCTGAGGATGCTGGTGATGCTTATGATGATGGTTGTGGTGGCGATGATGACTACGATGATGATCGTGAACCTGCTGCTGCTGGTGCTGATGAGGATGATTAGGATGATGAGGATGAGAATGAGGGTGAGGATTATGAGGAGGATGGCGATGATGTTTGTGATGTTGGTCATGGTTGGTGACGGCGGCGGCGACGACGATGCTGATGATGACGAGGATGTTGCTGCTGCTGGTGGTGAAGATGATGATTGTCATGATGCTGCTTGTGGTGCCACTGGTGATTGCGATGGCGATCCTCTGATGCTTCCCTCGTCCGCCGCCCTCGATGGTCAGAGTGGCGCTCCTCCTCACAAGGCGACCAGGCCACGGCAGACTCGATAGCCTGCCGGTCGCCGAGTCGGCTCGGCTTGCCGCGGGCTTTTTCCCGACCAGGCGGAGCCCGCTCTTCGGCCCGATCAGCTTGAAGTCGGGCACGTCCCTCCTCAGGAGGAATATCCAAGAATAATGCAAAGATGCTCAGGGGACGTTTTTTTGACTGAATTTGAATATTTTTAAGTATTTTGGGTTTTTCGTGCAACATCCGCCTGTAGGGGGACATGCCCGACCTAAGATCGGCCTGTCGCGAGACCGTTTCTGGTCGGCCCAGTCCGATCCGACTCCGATGTCCCGACGAGGCGACGACGACTACGAGCTGACCACGGCGACGACGACGACGGCGACGACGACGACGACGAAGACGACGAAGACGACGAGGCGAAGACGACGACGACGACGACGAGGCGACGACGAGGCGAAGACGACGACGACGACGACGACGACGACGACGACCACAGGCACCAGGCTGTGGCGATGCGTCCAGGATTGAGGACGAGGACGCGGACGAGGACGACCAGGACGACGACAGGGACGACCACGAGGGCGGCGGCGAGCGGCGATCGCTGCGGCGGCGACCACACCCCTGGCGCGACATGCCCCGCGCTCACCAAGGGATGCGCCGTGCTTGGCCCCTCGCTGCGCTCCATCGCGTCGGGCTCGCCGAGGGCCTCCTCCCCCCCGACTCCGGCGAGCAGCTTGGACTTTGAGGCGGAGGGAGGCTCACGGGTGATACTCCGATGAATTCCTCCTCCTCCTCCCTCCGAGGCTGCTCAGGTTCGTATGGACTGTTGTGCCTCGGAGTTGGCAGTCCGACGTCGGAGACACGTCTCGCTCCGGGCCCGCATTTTCGCTGGTGCATGTCGTGGAGCTGCCGGGACGCCCAGTTGCGAGTTTGACTTGAGCTGATGCGTGGTCGTCTCCCCCCCTTCTCCTCTCCCCCCTTTCTCCAAACTACCTCCCTCCAGAAGATCCCGGTGATCCGATGCGGCGCGGGGCTTGCATGGCGCTGGTGCTCATCCTGGTGCAGCCGGTCCGATTCCGACTCCGTGCCCGTGGCTTGTCTATGGTTTCACCACAGTCAACCCGCACAGTAAGGATGGGCAGCCTTCCCAAGGGTACCCTTGCATCCGTGACTCCTCGGTCCATCCTTCGGCGCTGTCGCTGGCCGCGCCCCGCTCGAAAAGCTTCGAAAGGGGCGTCCAAGGCCCTTGCATCCTTATCGCTCATTCTTACTATACTGGCTGACTGTAGCGCCTCACGGGTGGTCTCAAAGCCTTCGCGCCTTCTTCACAGGTGGCGCTGCGGCATATTTGCAGGCTCGTAGCTGGCCTCGCAGTACAGGTCCACCTGTGGCGTCCCGCGTTGCCCTGCTTTTGTGATCAAGCATCCTCGCTGGTAGCGCCGCTGCGGATCCACGAGTGAGTCATGATGGGCTTGCTTTCCACCACCACCACCACCATAGGTTGGAGGGGGAGTGGGTCCTCCTCCTACCTCCTTCCCCCCTCCAACTTATGGTGGTGGTGGTGGTGGAAAACAGGCCCATCAAGTCACAAGAGACCACTTTGACCATCCAGGTCGTCCCCCGAATGAGCGACGGGTGCGTTATTCTGTGCTGTTGCTCCCCCCGCGCCTCGCGTTCCGTCAGCGAGCAGCGTCCCAATCTCAGTGCTCATCTGTTCAGCCCGCTGCTCGTTGCGTCGCAGACGTCGCAAGGCGCCTGTCTTTTCAACTCGTCTTCCCCTCTGCCAGGATCTTTTTCGCGTGAAGCCTACGTGTTCATTCATGCTGCGTCTGTCTCGTCATGTTGTTCTTTCCCCCATGCTTGGCTTCTCAACGAAGGAAGTCGGTGCTTCATTCCCTAAGCAGCTTCGTTTCCTTATGGTATCAAGGCGCCGTGAGCGTTTCCCGGATCCTGGATCGGTGCGTGGTCTCACGTGTGATCTCCCGTATGTTCTCCCGAGTGGTCCTCCAATATGGTCTCCTGTGGGTGCAGTACAGTATCATGCCTTGTTCACGCTTCAGCTTTGCTTGTCAGGGTCTTAGTGTACCTCTTCCCTCGCCTCGCGCTCGCTCCGCTGATGGGCGCGACGTCCGCGTGCCACCTCTCTTCGGCTTCCCCTGCGCCCCGTATCCATGCTGGCTCAAGAAGCCACCTCGCTTCGGTTTCCACTCGCTTCCTGATTCCGTACCCCCTCGGCTATCCAGCCGCACCGTTTTCGTCGGGTCGCCCCCCCCCCCCCCGGGAACGCAAAGGATGGTGGCGCTCGTGCGCCCGGGCCTCGTCTTCGGCCTCGCGCTCGTCGGCACCCCGGCCGTTGGCCTCGCCGCGATGGTGCGCGACGTGGCTGACCTGTCGCCGTCGCGCGGCGGCTTCTCGCCCTCGCGCGACGCGTCGTCGGGAGGCGGGCGCCAGACGCCAGAGGAGCTGGGCTTCTCCTCCGACGAGGATCGGCGGCGAGCCTGTTGGGGGGGAGTGATGGGCCTGTTTTCCACCACCACCACCACCACCACAAGTTAGAGGGGGAGGGGTCCTCCTCCTCCTCCTCCTCCTCCTCTCCGCCTCCTCCTCCTCCTTCCTCTCCTCCTCCCCTTCGTCCTCCTCCTCGCTCCTCCTCCTCCTCCTGCTCCTCCTCCTCCTCCTCCTCCTCTTGTCGTCTTCCTCCTCCTCCTCTCCTCCTCCTCCTCCACCCCTCCTCCTTCTTCGTCCTCCTCTCCTCCTTCTCCTCCCCTCCTCCTCCTCCTCCTCACTCCTCCTACCTACGTTCCCTCCTCCTCCTCCTCTTCCTCCTCCTCCTCCTCCTCCTCCATCTTATGGTGGTGGTGGTGGTGGTGGTGGTGGTGGTGGTGGAAGACAAGCCCATCAGGGAAGTGAGAGGGTGAGGGGCTTCTCAGAAGCCCTCGCGCCTTCTGAGGAGCTGCGTGCGGCTTCGGAGAAGGCTCATGGGGCCTCTCGGGAGGCGCAGGGGCTTCCGAGGAGCCCCGCCGCCTTCCGAGGGAGTCGCTTCCCCCTCTCGCTTCCCCCCCGAGCTCGCCGTCGAGAGGACGTCGACGCGGGGGGCTACGGCACTTCACAGTTCAGCGAGGAGTTTTGCTTAGACATTGGCGCAAAGGGTTTCCCCATCCCCACGCTCAACATGCTCAATGCGGCCAACTGGGACGTGCCAACGTATTTCGCTCAGTTGCAGGGGGCAGGGTACGCCGAGGACGCCTTGCAGATGACGGGCCCCGACTCAGCCATCCTGAAGACCGATTGCATGAAGGAGCGCTTTCACGGGAAGGCGAAGCACATCTTCGTGGGCGATTCGCAGATGATGGCCCTCCGCAACGCGTTCCACCGCCTCAACAAGTGCCCTGAGATCTGGTGGGCCAACCACTCCGAGAAGGACATCGACGACATGTTGGGCACGGTGCGGAGGAACGAGGCTTCCAAGACGCAGGTGAAGAGCAGGTCCCGCTTCCGCTCCCGATCGGACCAGGCCCCCGACAAGCTGCCCCACGGCTGCACCGAGGAGGGCATCGCGTCTTTCGTCAGTTGGGATGCTTGGGCCAGCCAGAAGATTCCCGTGAGGTCGGAGGGAGGAGGAGGAGGAGGAGGAGAAGAAGGAGGAGGAGGACGAGGAGGAGGAGACGGAGGAGCTATTTACCTCATCGATCCTGGCCGGGCCGGTGCTTGGCCCAAGCTCGGTGCAGATCCCCTCCTGGCCAAACCAGGAGGCCGTCTACACACCGATCTTTGGCCTTTGACAGGTTTCGCCAGGATCGACTTCGGTAGCAAATCATGGGAGCCTTGTGTACCCTCGATATTTTGTCTTTCGCGTCGATTTTCGTCAATAAGCGTCTTGGAGTCGACGAGATGGCGCCGATTCAGCGTCGGATAGCGTCGATTAGCGTCGATCTAGCGTCGGCTACCGTCGATTAGCGTCGATTTAGCGTCGCTCAGCGTCGATTTAGCGTCGATTAGCGTCGATTCGCAAGGGCCGACAAGATGGTATGGAAGGCTCCCATGAGTTGCCAACGGAATCGGCGATGTGGATAGTTGACGCCCCCGATGAGGGAGATCAAGATGGAGATGGACCTGGCCGGTGTGAGCCCTGCAGACGGAGATCTCGTCGTCGTCTGGATCGGCTCGAACTTTATCCCCGCAGTGCACAGGATGTCCACCCTGCTCCAGAGCATCAACGAGCTCCACGAGCTGAAGGTCAAGATGGTGTGGGACTCGCCGACCTTCCAGGACGATGCCCTCATGACCGCCACGACGACCTACGACCTTGGACGCGGCCAGCGCAACAGACAGCCCATCGCCTACAGCTACATCAAACAGCGGAAGCAGAGCGGTCAAATCGGCTCGAATGAGTTCCGTACGGAGCAGACGCTGTTTGACCAGGGCATCGAGATCCCCACCACGAAGCGGTGGCAGATCTCCAACCGCTACCGCGGGCTCCAGTGCGACGGCATTCACACCGACATGCGCGCCAGGGACCCCCTTTTCTACGACCTGCCGTGCCCCATGGGCCGGCAGAAGTACGGGAAGTCCAACTACTGCACCTGGGTGGAGCCGTTCCGGGCCGAGCTGCGTGCCTCCTGCCCAGAGGCCTCCGGGCTGGACGACCTGGTGCTCCAGAGCGGGCTCTACGCGATGTGCGCTGCGCACGAGAAGCCGTTCTGCTACACCTACACCGAGCACATCCGCTGAGGCGCAGCGCTCAATCTGCGACAGGTGGTTTATAAGCTCATTTCCGTTTCCAGCTGTCCTCTCCTCTCGCGTCCTCGCCCTCCTCTCGGGCATCCGTCGTGCTCTTCCACCAATCTAGTCGCTTCTGGAGGACTTGCATCTTACTTTGCAGTCTCTTTCAGCCGTTTGTGCTCTCGCTTCGTCGCGTGCGTCGCAGGGCGCGGTCTGGGCTCCTTTCAACCGAGCTTGGCCTGTCAAATGCCGTATTTCGCAACCAAGCCGACGCTTGGGGCACGCGATTGACATCTACTGCCGGCCCAGAGCAACGAGCAAAACGGATCGATCCGATGTGTGCACGGCTCTGCTACTGTGGTCCCTGACTGCAGAAGCTGCGGGGCCCGACTTGGCAGCATGTCGGAACATGTTGCGCCATTCCCTCGCTATGTTTCTGTGCTCGGAGGGAAGACAAGCGACACCACCACCAACAGGGGCGCCACCTCCAGCCAGGAGGTCCACGATGGCTCTCCGAGCTGGGGATCGGGGATATCCCGAGCGGGGAGGGATGGACCACACCACCAGGAGGACCCCCTCTGGCTCATGGGCTGGTGGTGGTGGTGGTGGTGTCGTTTGTTTCCTGTTCCTATGTGAGTATCTTCATGATCCAGCACTTCGACGTTGAACCTCGCGCTCCTCCGTTCTTCCTGCAGGAGTGTTTGGGGAACGGGCCGGTCTCAGCCCTCGCGTGCTTACGCACCCTTCCTGGTATGATTTGCTCTGCGCACGTTCTGCTCTCTCAGGACTATTCGGGGTACTCCCATCTGTCATCCCAGAAGTGACCTCACAGCTTGCGATCATCAACAGTGCTCCCACTTGTGACCCCCATCGAACGAAACAGTGTGATCCCACGAGTGGCTTCCCCTTGCGGCCACACAAACAGATCGCAAGTTGGTCCACTGTGAGATCACGTATGAGCCCATTGGCGCGGCCAAGGTGTTACCCCCCTTGCCGCTATGTGTTTTCGTGGACGCGCCGTGTGGGCATCTGTGGACCACCCAAGTGGCACGGCCATCTGTGAGGCCACGACTGGGCCCACCGTGGTCCAGCCCAACGCCTTGAACTCACTCGCGCCGGGGCAGCGAAATGGGGACCGCCTCAGGGGCGGAACATCGACCCCCAAATGGTCCATGCGTCGCCGATCGGGGCTCGGATGACGCTACCCTGCCCAGGTACCTGTTGTTCCGCTGCGAGGGGCCTGTCGCCGATGTGTCCGCGAGGATGCGGAGGAGGAGGAGGCGGAGGAGGAAGAGGAGGCGGAGGAGGAGGAGGAGGAGGAAAACAATACATGAGGGTGGGGCGGACACTCCGAGACATATTCCCTCACAGACTCAGGTGAGAGAGGAGAGTAGTATTCATATTGAGCAAGTATGGAGGTAGGAGGAGGAGAAGGAGGAGGAGGAGGCGGCGGCGGCGGAGGAGGATGAGGAGGAAGAGGAAGGAGGAGGAGGAGGAGGAGGAGGAGGAGGAGGAGGAGGAGGAGGAGGAGGCGGAGGAGGTGTTGCCGATTTCTGGTCGATGCCTCCCCCATGAGCCGGCCCCCCGTGCCGCCCCCCCCCTTCCCACCCTCTCGTCTGATGCGCTCTCCCCGCTGGCATCTCCTGCTCGACACGAAGCATTTGTGCGCGCCACGCGCTGGCGCTGCTGGCGCTATCCAGAGGCCCGCGGCGCTCGGCCTGCCCGTCTGCTGGGGCAGCTCCTGCCCGACGCGAGGGAGGGAGCGCGGGTCCCGCGCGCGCGCGCTGCCTGCTGCTGCCGCCATCGGGGGGCGCTCGGCGCCCGGCCTGCCCGTCAGCTGGGGCACACGCGCTGCACCACGGAGGGGCCGCCACACCGGTGTCCTGCTGGCACTCGGGAGGGAAAGAGGGGCGCAGACACGAAGACGCGCCGACCCCCCAGAGCAGATGGGAAACTACGGGAAGATGTGGGGGGAAGACGAAGCCCCGAGGACATGGGAACCTATAAGATGGGGCATCCTGAGACCTGTGTGCATGCATCTGTGTGCCCCTGGGCCCCTTGAGTCACCGCTGCCGTCTCGGCGCTCGCGGGCGTCCCCCCCGTCCTCCTCCTCCTCCTCCCTCCCTCCCTCCCTCCCTCCCTCCCTCCCTCCCTCGCTCCCTCCCTCCCTCCCTCCCTCCCTCCCTCCCTCCCTCCACTCCTCTTCCTCGTCCCTCCTCCTCCTTCCTCCTCTTCCTCCTCCTCCCTCCACGTTCGTGCTCCTCCTCCCTCCTCCTCCTCCTCCGCCCGCCTTTTCTCCTCCCCCTCCTTCTCCCTCCTCCTCCTCTTCATCCTCTCCGCTCCTACCTCCTCCTCCTCCTCCTCCTCATCCTCCTCCTCCTCTCCTTTGGGCGCCTCCCTCCCAGGAATGGCCACAGGGCGGCGACCGCGGGCGCACGCCGCGCCGCGCGCCCCGTGGCGCCCACGTGCTCGCGCGCGCCGGGCCTGGCTCGGCGCCCGCCTCGGCCCGCGGCCGCCTGGCTGGGCCGCCAGTGCGGCGCCGCGCCGAGGGGTGGCGCCGGGCCCGGCGGGCCCAGGCGCCGGGGCAAGCGCGGGCAGCCGCGGGCCGTCGCCGCGGGCCTCCCGGGCCCTCCAGCAGCAGCGGCGCCTCCAGGGCTGCCGCGGGCGCGCGGCCAGGGGGTGCGACGGCGAGGGGCTGCCCCCCTGGCGCGCGCGTGCGCCCGCGGCAGCGGCTCGGCTCCTCGCCCCGGTCCAGCCGCTACCCGTCCTCCGTGCTTCCTTCTCCTCCTCTGTGCTCCTCGCCCCAGGCCGGCCGCTGCCTCGGCCTTCTCCTCTTCCTCCTTCTCCTCTGCGCTCCTCGCCTCGGGCCGGCCGCTACCACAGCCTCCCCCTCCTGCTGCTCCTCCTCCTCTGCCTGCCTCAGCCCCAGGCCCAGGGCGCGCTTGTGGCGCCCCTCGTCGTCGTCGTCGTCGTCCTCCTCCTCCTCCTCCTCCTCATCTTCCTCCTCCTCCTCCTCCCCTCCTCCTCCTCCTCCTCCTCCTCCTCTCTTCCTCCTCCTCCTCCTCTTCCCGCTTTCTCTCCTCCTCTCTTCCCTCCTCCTCCTCCTCCTCCTCCACGTCCTCCTCTCCTCCTCCTCCTCCTCCCTTCTCGCTCCTCCTCCTCCTCCCCCCCTCTCTTTCCCTTCTCCTTCTCCACTCCTCCTCCTCCTCTCCTCCTCCTCCTTTTTTGCTGCTGCTCCTCCTCCTCCGCCCTCCTCCTCCTCCTCCTCTTCCTGCTCCTCCGTCCTGCTCCTCCTCCTCCTTCTCCTCCTCCTTCTCCTCCTGCTCCGTCCTCCTACCTCCACACTTGCTCAATATGAATACTACTCTCCTCTCTCCCCTGAGTCTGTGGCGGAATATGTCTCGGAGTGTCCGCCCCCCTCATGTATGGTTTTCCCTAAGGGTGTCGGCGAGCTGCGTTTTCGCTGATGCTCTTTTCAACATGTTGCTCTCGCTTAGGTGCTGGCCTCATTTTCGGGCTTCCGCTCGTTCCGAATCGTGCTCCCGCTGCAGTGTTGGCTTCATTTTCGCGCTTCCTCTTGCTCCGAATCGCGCTCCAGCTGCCACGGCATGGTTTTCGGTCCTTCCAAATCGGCCCCACCATCTAAAACATACGCCCTCCGAAACAAAAACATCGGAAGTGATTACCCATTCGGTGTCGATTCGTAGATTTTTTGCGCCGCAGACGCTCCCCCCCCCCACGCTGTGGGGCGTCGCCACGCCATGCTATGTCAGACTACGCGACCTCATATCCTCGCTTCCGGTTTTGTTTCTTTTGTTTCTTTGTTTTTGTTTTTTCTCCAAAAAGCTGCTCACGTGTTCGTTCGCATTGAGCGGTCCTTGGTATAGCCGCCACGTGTTTGGAAAAGGTTGGGCACCCACGTCGCAGGGTATGTTCGTTGCCGGGGGGGGGAGTGGGCCGGGGGGGCGCCTGGGCCATCAGCGGGGGGTCTGCGGGGCCGGGGGGTCTGCGGAGTTGCACGGGGGGCTGCACTGCTTTTGCTGGAGGCGCTCCCGAGCGCTCTGCCTCGCCTCCCGCCGGCGTTCCTCGCGGAAGGGCTGGTGATGGGTCTGTTTTCCACCACCACCACCACCATACATCGGAGGGGGAGGGGGTCCTCCTCCTCCTCCTCCTCCTCCTCCTCCTCCTCCTTCTCCTCCTCCTCCTCCTCCTCCTCCTCCCTCCTCCCCCTCCTCCTAGCTGCCGCGAGAGATCGAGAGCGGCAGCCAGCTGGCGACAGGAGCCAGTACAGCCCCTTTCAGCGAACCCAGCATGCTGCCAGCTGGGCTTGGGGGGGCATGGCGCTGTGCTTGCTAATCTCTGTCTCTGTGCTCTTGTGGTTGCTCTTCTTATTCTGCTTGGAGGACGGAAGTGGAAGTGTGAGGAGGAAGGAAATGGTACGATTTGCAACATACAACCCATTGGCATCGGACCAAGACAGACTATGCGAAATCAGTGCCGAACTGAGGACATGGGATTGCGTTCTGGTCTGCGGGACGCAGCAAAGGGCAGAAATTGACCATCCCACAACCCAAGTGCAATTTGATAATCACTGGGGCATTAAGTTTGGCAGGGGGACAGGGTCGAAACACACCAACAGAAGTTGTGGGCTTGCTATCCTCCTAGGGTGCAGATTTCCGCGTACGGCCCTCAAGGAAGTATGTTGCCCTCCCAAGATCCTGCAGGGCCGTGTAGGTGCAGTACGCCTGCAGACTTCACAGGAGGACTTACTACTGGTTGCTGTGTATTTTGCGCCTGCGACGGAAAAGAGAAGTTCAGAGACGGCGGAAAAGATCTGTACGTGGATTGAAACACTCTGCGATAGACGAGGTGTGCGAACAACCCTAGTCGTGGGAGGGGATATTAACAGCGACTTTGGACTAGCCAGGGACGAGACTGGATACATGAGAAGCACGCAGGGACGGGAAGTGGGGAGAGAATGGCCACGTCCAGAGAACAGCAATGGAAGGCGTGTTCGACAATTTTGCAAGGAGAACCAATTGTTCATTGCCACCACAGATGCCAAGCAAGTTAAGCAAACGATTTACGGGGCGAAAGGAGGAGGAGGGAGGATCGATCACTTCGCCATACCTGTGGGTGCACGGGATCTTGTGGAGCACTGCAGCACGTTGAGAAATGCGGGAAAGCGACTGCAAACGATTCGATCCCGTTTCCCACGGGACCATGTGCCAGTGGGAATGCAGCTGCCCTTGGGATTGAAGTGCAGGAACTATACCAGGATACCGCAGACACCACAGCTGGACCGACACCTGCTGATGAGATGTGTGAAGGAAGGAGTGTGCAGGGAGGAGCTATTCGCGAGGATGGAGGAGGGGGCGAAGAAGGTGCCCGCGGAGGA